TTACTCCCTTCGCAGCATGTCAGTGGCCGGTCACTGGATATTTGTTACTCAGTTTTTATGCAGACTGCAAAGCATGCAGTTGTGTTGCTTTCTAATCTCCTGGTGATAAACACATGAGGCATCTGCAAAAATAGAGGCTACAATGAACCAGTCAACAAAGATAAAAGTGCAGCAAGGAGACAGAAAGTGATGTTAAGTTTAAATCAAAAGTAAGTTGGGGCCTCCCTAGTGGCACAAGGGGTAAAGCACAGCACTACAAAGCTATTGCAACCTCTGCAGCACGAGTTCAAGCATAGTTCAATCCCCGGCTGGCCAGGGAGCAACCCAGATGGCGCAGCAGACCTCTCCTGTCTCACCCACTGCTCCCTCAGCAGTGTATTTCAGTCTGCCTGTTCTGTTCCCCACTCTGTCTCTTGTGAACCCTCTCACCCTCCCACATATCTGGTCTGTACCCCGGTTCTTGTAGGCATAAATAAATAAATCTTTAAAAAAATAAATTAAAGGTAAGTGGAAATAGAGAAGAAAGAACTGGCTGTGGGAATGTTGATGCTCTCACTGTTAAAATCTAGATATGTAGCCAGAGGAATTTAGTAAAGCTGAATTCATGAATATTGTGCTGAAGATGTTTCAGAGGAAGTGACACTGGCAAAAAAAAAATTAATGTTAAAGGAACTTTCAAAGACCAGTTTTGAAAGTTCAAGAGAGTAAACATGCAAAGCTGACTCAAACTTAGAAAGGAGGCTGACAATTTGTCGAGGCATAGAAAGTAGGTTCTTCTACGACAAGAAGGTAAGTACTGTTCGAATGATTCTTGATACGTTCTACCAATATACAAAAAAATCAAATAAAACGTTTTAATTCTCAATGTTTCCAATGTTTTAATTACATACTGTATATGAAACACATCTACTAATTTTTTCTCTACATACACTTAAAATCATCAGTAAGAAAATTTCTAATATTTTGACAAAACAGTTGTTCAATTTTTATTATTTTTTCTCACATCATTAATTTTTGGACAGTATTTGATTCCTCCTCTTCAGTGTAGCTCTCCCATCACGATAGCACCCGTGATCCATCACCACAGTCCCTTGGGCTCTTCCCTCCCCTGTTTTGACTCTTCCCTTCTCCTCCCCCATGCTTCAAATCCATGGCTAGTTTGCAAGTTTTGTCTTTTTCCTAGCCCTGACAAAAGATTTTAAAGATCACAGGACAATTATAATTTGCCCCATTAAGAATTAAAATGGCTCTGCAGGTTTTCAACTTATAAGATCACGTTTACATCTGTGCACTGCCATGCCAAGCAAAAACTACACAAGGATGATCTTACTTGATCTTCAAAATAACACTAAGAAATAGATGTTACCATCATCTCCACATTATAGGCAAAGAGGATAAATGATTTGGCCAAAGTCACATAGTCAGTTATGCCCAGGTGCCTGAGGACTTGATACAAGCTGCCATGCTCAGCTTTTCACTATAGCTAACGTAATCTTAATATACCAAAAGCCCCAGTACTGGTCAATGAAGCTAAGGGCAAGATGCTTTGCCTCCTTGTAAGAGGAAAATTTTGTCTCCCCATCCTGGCTGTCTTTCTGCTTTGTGCTTTTGGGCATGGCTGTGTGAGGACACAGTGTCCAGAGCTGCAATGACCTTCCCTGAACCGAAAAGGAAAAATCAAGAGAAAGTCAAGGCCACTACTCAGAACCGTGATACCATCAACTCTCAACTACCCCGGGAGTTTTCTTGTACAAGATATTGAAGGGTCTTATCATTTAACCACTACGTATTGGCTATTCTGTCACATTTGATAGACTGCATTGCCAAATGACATATTCTCTTACAAACATCAGAATGTTTGTCTTCCCAAATTCATATGTTGAAATCCTTACCCCCAAGGTGATGATATCAGGAGGTGGGAAATTGAAGAGGTGCTTAGCTTAAGTCATGAGGGTGGAACCCTCATGAATGTGATAAGCAACAATATAATAAAGACCCCATGGAGTTCTCTCTTCCCTTCTACTATATAAGGACATAGCAGAAAGTCAGCCCTGTATGCTGGTCCTCACCAGAACTTGACTATGCTTGTATCTTGATATTGGACTTCAGTATCCAAAACCGTGGGGAGAAAATTCTGTTGTTTAAGTCACTCAGTCTGTGGTATTTTGTTATAGCAGTTCAAACAGATCAAGGCATCTCCATTGCTGCTTCACTCTTTCCTTTTCACCCAGATAACTTCTTTTGGGTCCATGATCTTGCTCAGGTTTCATTCTTACAGAATTAATAACAGCCTGTCTGTATGGAGTTCACCAGTCCAGCCACTGTTCCTTCTTTCCTGGCATTTTTCTCTATTAAAAAGTAGACTATACATGTTACTGATATTTGTGCTTCCTTACTTGCTTCTCATTCTTTGGTTTCTGACTTTCCCACCTCGGGCTCCACTGAGAGTATTTTAATCTAGGTCACTAATTTGTAAATCCAACAGATACCTCTTCTGTCTTTTTCCTTATCTGATCTCTTTATGGCACTTGGCTTTAGATTAGCACTTCTGCCTCTATGAAAACCCTTTGCCTGTGGCTTGACATTACCCTCACCCAGTTCCCTTTTGACCTCTCTGGCTATTCATTCTGCATTTACCCTATGAGAGTCTCTTTCTGTCTTTACTTCCTACGTGTTGGCTTTTTCAGGGAGCTATTTTCCCTGATTCTTCTCTTTCTTTTCTCTACTTTCCTACTGGTTTGTAACTTCCTTTCTGTATTTTCAAAGTTTGGAAGCAGCTTTCTTGAGAATTGGAACTCTATTCTAGATTCTTCATTTAAACAGAATTGAAGCTAAGCTGCTTGGGGAAATATCTTCCCCATTGCATCGAGCATTTGGTCACAGATTGAATTGTGTTCCCCACCCACCCCCAAAGTAAGTTGAAGTCCAAATACCCTGTGAATGTAACCTGATTTGAACATAGGGTCTTTGCAGATGTAGTCAAGTTGCGGTCATTAGGATGGACCCTAGTCCAACATGACAAGTGAACTTATAAAAACAGACAGAGACAGGGGAGAACACCATGGATGATGGAGGCAGAATCTAGAGCGATGCAGCTACCAGCCAAGGAATGCCTAGGTGGTGGCCCCCATCAAAAGTTATAAAGAGTCTAGGGAAGAATCCTTCCCTAGCCTCTTTATAAGGAAAAAGACCATGGCCCTGCTGACAGGGCCTTGATTTGGATTCCTAGCTTCAAAATCTGAGACAATACATTTCTGTTGTTTTAAGTCATCTGGTTTGCAGTACTTTGCTAGAGCAACCCTGGGAAATTAATACTCACTTCCTCCATTATCCTTCAGCTCCTTATCTAAGCAATTAGGTTTTACTTGCAATCTTTTGTCTTAAGACTATTTTGCTTTCATTCTTCCCTTCCTTCAGGAATTTTCAAACTTTATAATAGTTTTTTAAATTATCAACATCAACATAGAGCTTGCAATGCTAAATTTTGCCCTTAGTCTTTGGCTATGAGGGCATCAGGAAAAAACTACCACCTACTTACAGCATTATTCATAAAAATTAGAACATTTAACCTGAAGGTCTCAGAATAAAATGCAGCTCTTCAATCGGAATACTTCAGGCTTTATGAAAAACTAAGTGCTTTATCCTAACCTTTCCAATTTTGTTTCAGAGCCACATAGATTTTGTCACAGAAACATTTAAGGGCCCATGTATGGTGTAATGAAAAATATTAACACCTAAGCAAGTAGTCTCCTTTCTTTGTTGGTAGTGGTCGCTCCCCTTCCCTCCCAAATTCTCTTTGACCATATTATGAAATTGGAGTAATAATCAGTGAACGGAAAAACTTGAGAAGCGGGAGCTTTTTAAAAGGTAATAACCTCTCAAAAGAAAGCTACCGTGGGTGACAAGGTGGAGAGGAGGCTCATGCTTAGGTTTGAGGAAGTTGGGGGAAAAGATTGAGCGAGGCATACAGGAGAAATTGAAAATAAGGAGAAAGGCATTTTGAAAGTTACTATACATGGCGTGTGCAGAGTATCTTGAGTCTGAGATGGAAAATTTAGTTTCTTTCAGTTGCTTTTCTTGCCGGACTTGTATCTCTGAGTGTGATTCTGTATAGGACCAGGTCAGAGGGCCTTAACAGGGTTGCATGTCACTGTGCTCAGAGCAGTATCGCACAGTGATTAAGGAAAGGGGTTCAGGAACCAGAAGTCCTGCTTTTGAATCCAGACTGCAATCCTTTTCTGCTGTGTGTCCACGGGATAGTTTATTTCTCTGTGCCTCCTCTCTTCATTCATCTAAGGGAGGTAACCACTTCACTGGATTGTTGGGAAGAGCTTATGAGTTACATATTTGCTAATTATAATAGATCTTGCCAATGCAAGAACCTCAAGTGTCATAGTAAGAAAAGATAAATAAATGTATATACAACCTCCCACCTGTTTAAACAAAACAAAAACAGCTTTCGCGGCTCACCGTTCCTAAACTCCTCAGCAAGGAATAACCCCAAAACCAAAGGTGCCTGGTTTGCTCTGCCGGTGAGCTCCGACCTCCCCCCGCAGTGTTTCCAGCAGTGCGGGTGCGCTGGGGGGCTCCCTCCCGAAATCCCGGGCTGGCTCAGCGCCTCGGGGCGCAGGGCAGCCCCCCGCAAAGGGTCTGACTGGCCCGCACCTCTCAGGTGCCCAGCGCAAGTGGCCACGAGGGAAAGCGCTTCACTGTCTCCCGCAAACACAAAACTGGGGGCCCTGGGTGGGGAGCGTGCCTCGGCGGGGAGGAGACGTCTCAGCACCTAAGCACCGCTGCCGAGGGTGCTCAAGCCCGCCACGTCGCCCGGGGGTGGGGGCGGGGCCCCCGGTCGGGACGCCTCGGCGGCCCCGCAGGCCGCCCGCCCCGGCGCGGGCGCTGCGTCACGTGACGCGCCGCTCCCCCGCCGCGGCCCCCGGCGCACAGCTGGAGGCGGGCCCCGCCCTCCCCCGGGAGCAGCGGCGCCCGAGCGGGCGCGGTGCATTGTGGGCAGAGGGGCGGGGGTTGGGAAGATGGCGGCTCCCAGCCTCCTCAACTGGAAGCGGGTTTCCTCCTTCACGGGGCCGGTTCCCCGCGCCCGGCACGGACACCGGGCCGTGGCCATCCGGGAGTTGATGATCATCTTCGGAGGGGGCAACGAGGGCATCGCGGACGAGCTGCACGTCTACAACACAGGTAGGCGCGGCGGCGACTGTTCGGCCCCGCCTGCGGGAGCCGCCGCGGGGGGAGGGGAGGCAGGCGGCGGCCGCGGCCCTGACAGCTGTCACCGCCGGGCCGCTGCCTCCCCCGGCGGGCGGCGGGGAGCGCGGCGTCGCCGGGCGGCCGGGGCCCCGCAGTGTCTCGGGCGGCAGCTCCGTCTGCCCGGGACCCGCGGAGCGGAACCGGACCCCTCGGGCGGGCGGCCCCGGCCCTCCCCTCAGCCCCGCGGGCGGGCGTCGGCGAGGGACTGTCCGCGCTGCCCGCGCCTCCGCCCGAGTCTCGCCCGCTCCGGGGCGCCCGGACCCCTCCCCTGTCAAAACCCAAACCAACTCCGCACCAAAGCTCTCCGGGCCCTCCGGTCTTTGCTTCCCTTTCTTCCTTGGGAGGAGAAGGATCCAGGGGGTGCAAGGGGGAAAACGAGAGGCCTTCTGGTCCTTTCACCCCATATACGGCCCCGTATCTGGCAGGTGGCACTTAAGGTTTACCCCATTGGTAGGCTGCGTAACTGGCGGGGAAGTGGTTCCTGGGGTGAGACCGGCGCCCCGCTCTGCAGAGTTGGGTGTGCGTGCTGGAGCTCGGCGGTGAACGCTCCGAAAAACTGTCAGCTCGAGCGCCGCTGCAAATTATAAGTGCCTCTGACCTAGGAAGGCCCTACCTTTGATTATCTCCGTGTGTGTGTGTGTGTGTGTGTGTGGTGTGTGTGGTGTGTGTGTGTGTGTGTGTGTGTAAATGCGCCCACTCTTATGAGAAAGCTGTTTCCTTGATGCAAGGCTACTTGCAGAATTTTGAGTCTGTCATGATCAATAAGTTCTGTTTGACCAAACAAGGCCATCATGGTGGTCATTGAAAGGTCATTAAAATAGTGGAGTAGGGGAAATTTTATTTTCTGCTTTGGCCTTTTCCTTCCACCCAGCTTATAAAGTTATTTGACACTTTGGTCGATTGTGAAAACCCTCACTATGGAATAAATGAGACCTAGTTTGAGTTTTGTTCTGCCTGTTGCTCAGGAGTGGTGCTAAAGTTACTCAGCCTTTCTGGTGTCAGATCTTTAGTTTGTAAAGATCTTTAGTTTGTAAAGATCTTTAGTTTGTAAAATGGAGAGGATAATATTCATCAAGCAGAGTGTTTGTGAGAATTAAATGATACAGGTGAGTGGCTCTCAACAGCAGCACTATTGACACTTGGAGCAAGCTAATTTTTTGTCGTGGGGGGCGCGGGGGAGGCTGCATTGTACATTGTAAGATGATTAGGAGCATCCCTGGCCTCTCTCCACTAAATGGCAGTAGCATCCTGCCCCCTCCAATTATAACCACTAAAAATGTTTATTTTGCCTGTGGGGCAAAATCATCCCCACCAGTATCGTGGTACAGATAAAGTACAAACTCATAGTTTGTGATAACTTTATTATAATTGGTTTTAATTTTATTTTGGCAACTAGTTACAAATCAGTGGTTCCTACCAGCTGTTAGAGGAGACATCCCTCCAGGCTGTGCTGCCCATGGATTTGTCTGTGATGGTACCAGAATATTAGTATTTGGGGGAATGGTTGAATATGGAAGATACAGCAATGAGTTATATGAATTACAAGTAAGTATATTTCACATTTATTATCCCAATCTGAAGCTTTAATAATGCTATTGCTCATAATCCTTTGAAAGATTGCAGAATATTTCATTAATGTACTTAAAATAGTTGAGTTTCACATTTTATAGTTTCGGGAAAAAATGTTGCCACTTCACCAGAAAGCTTTAATTTCTAATGTTAAGTCTTTTACCAATGCCTAGTATAACATTTGTAACATAAGTTATCTGTTACTTAGTATCAATTGCACATGTTATATGTGTGTGCTTTGTTTCTTAGAGCTACAAGTTCATCCTTAGCTTACAACTGAAGCACCTTGTGACACCAGTTTCTGAATCTATGTTGTCTGTTGTGGAGTCTCAGTATTTGTGTTCATACCAAGTTCCCATCTGCTACTCTTGGTCCTCAGACCATGCTTTGAAAATCTCTGCCTTAGTCTCTGGCAATACATACAAAAGAGGGGCAATGATTTCATCTTTCCCTTCTAAATTTGACTCTCTACTAAACCAGATTCAGAGCCCACTGTGACAGTCTTTGTTGACTTTCTTCCTGAACTGACATATGTTCCCAAGGCCATTATCATAATGACATCTGGTAATTGATAGATGTGAGTAAATTATACCTATTTACAAGCAACTCGTTTTTAAAAAAAAAGTTTTAGATAAAGAAAGCATCCATGGGCAGAGAATAAGTTTTAGATCTTGGTTTATTAAATGACTTTTATATTTATATAAAAGTTAAAGTAAATGCCATTCAAGAATTACCTAAAGTAATTCATAAAGGTTAGAATGCATAAATTACATTCACTCTTATATAATATATAATATTATATATATAAACTTATCTTTTCTTTTGGAAAATACTTCAGAACTGTTGATGTTTATTATTATAAATTAGGTTACTGTTTTGTAAATCTCAGTATGGGAGACTGCAATGAATTTATGTCAGAATATTTATTTTAATTTTATAAGTTATCTGCTTGTCATTTGTCTCAAAAGTCACTTGTCATTCATTCCAAAAGGGACTTCTGATTAAAATGCATTGGCTTAATGTTACACTATTGACAATTTGGAATGCTTCCTGATTTTGTCTGACTGTATTTATGCTCTTTTTTAGGCAAGTCGTTGGTTATGGAAAAAAGTAAAGCCCCATCCTCCTTCTTCTGGTTTACCTCCTTGTCCTAGGCTTGGACATAGTTTCTCATTGTATGGTAACAAATGCTATTTGTTTGGTGGCCTGGCAAATGAAAGTGAAGATTCAAACAATAATGTTCCCAGGTATGCTGACTCTTTTGCAGACCAAATGCTTTTTTTATGATTTATTTAAGAACATTTAGTCTTTTCCATTTTTATTAAAAAGAAGGAAGCTTAGCCCTTTTTCTTTTTTTTGGCATTTAAACATAGCAATGAGCAAATTCATATGCATTTATTTGTGTTTCCTTAGTCCCTGGAGTAAATTTGGTTTTAGATTGCTTTATTTCATATCATATCAAATTGCTTTATTAAATTGATATTAATAAAATTGCTCTTGGAAATATATTTGTATATATTGAACAGTAATGTATTTTAATTAGATCATAAATAATAATGAAAAGTTACATATGCTTATTTTAAGAATAGATTTCTCTGGGAATCTGGTTACCAAAATCTGACTATGAAATGAAAGTCCTCTTTTCCATTTTTCATGTAGGAAGCTGTTAGAGTAGTTTACACTAACAAATACTTTTGGAGCCGATTTTCCTCTCCTTTTTCCGAACAGAATTAATTGCTGCTATTCTTTTCTTTTCACATAGTGTTTTGTTCACATTCTCATTATGACACTCAGGAATTGGAGATACAGAGTCAAATGGCTGTTTTTTGATTCACTGTTTATCACATGTGTCTACTAGAGGAAGTAATATAAGCCTGTTTTCTTTCACTATGAAATGGGAGTGATTAAATATCTAATTTATGGTGTCATCGTGATGACTAAAATAAGATCATTGGCATAATTTTCAGAGGACTTTCGTACTGTCTTTGGCATATAATATTGTTATCAAGATGATTATGTCTTTTTTTAATTTACATTAGATTGATGTTAGAATGTTGGGTTTTTCCCCCTAAATTTTAAAAGTAATGTCATGTAAATATACTAAGACATCATGGAAACTTTGGAAACTAGAAAAAGGAAAATATGTTTATCCCACCACACTTAACTCCAGATACTTTTAGCCTTTTTTCATTTTCCCAGATTTTTTTAGATATAGATTGGTAAAAATTTAGGAAGTTAGGAAGTATACAAAGTTCTTCCTCACAGGACATTTTCCATCATAAGAAACTTATTATACATTTGTATTCAGTCCCATCCTAATCTCTATAGTCACTGATCTACTTTCCATTTCCATAGATTAGCCTTTTCTCAACATTTTATATAAAAGTGACTTTCTTTATATAAAAATGTGTCCTGTTTCACTTAGTGTGTTTTTGAGTTTCATCCTTGTTACAGCGTGTATCAGATATTTCTTCTCTGTTGTGTTGCTACAGCATGTTTTGCTTTTGTGTTCATGTGTTCAGGAGTTGATAGACTGCATTTCTTCCAACTTTTGTCTTTTATGAAATGCTTCTGTGAACATATGTATACAAATCTTTATTTGGTCATGTGTTTATTTCTCTTGATTATATACCTAGCAGTAAAAGTGTTGGGTTATATGGTACATTTATGTTAAGAACTACCAAAGTGTTTTCCAAAGTTGAACATGTTGCAATGGCTGCTGATAGCTGGATAGTGCTGTGTCTTTAACCCCCTCGCCACCAGAGAGGCCCTGGGAAATGCTTTTGAACAGATTAAGGAAGTTTTCTTAAATTTCTAGTTTGACAAATAGTTTGTTTTCTTTCTCTTAACCAAAAACAGATGCTTCGATTTATTTCAGATCTAGAAATATACTTACTGTTTCTCTTTTAATTCATTTAATGTTGTGAATATATTTAGGAAAAATATATTTAGGGGTTGATCTTTGATGCCTTTTAAATTTCTTCTGTGGTTGTTAATCTGTTTTCATTTTCTACCTTTTATTGATTCATTTTACTAATTTGTTTTCCTTGAAAAAGCACCTATTTCATCTAAATATTATTACTGATAAAATTACTAGAATAATAAATACTCCACTATAAAAAATACTCCTCCCCCTTACATCATTGTTAATTTTGGACAATATTTGATTTCTCCCCTCAGGTGTAGTCCTGGTAGTTCTCCCATCATCATGGTAGCTGTGATACATCCCCTGCTTTGACCCCTTCCCCTTCCTCTCCTCTCATGTATGCCTCAGATCTCCGGGCAACTTGCAGGTTTTGTCTTTTTCCTGACCCTTTGTTTGGTTTCTCTGTATTGTGCATATAATGAAACCATCCAATATTTATCTTTTTCCTTCTGACTTATTTCACTTAGCAAAATCCCTTTCAGTTCCATCCATATTGCCACAAATGGCATGCGTTTTTCCTGATTGCTGAGTAGTATTCCAGTGTGTGTTTAAACCATATTCTTGATCCATTCATCTGCTTAGGGGCATTTAGATTGTTTCTGTATCTTGGCTATTGTAAATAGTGGTACAGTAAACATAGGCGTACAGGTTTACTTTCAAATCAGTGTTTTTTTGTATCCTTTGAGTAGATTCCTGGGAGTGGAATTGCTGGGTCATATGGTAGATCCACTTTTAGTGTTTTGAGGCACCTCCACGTAGCTTTCCACAGTGGCTGGACCAGTTCACATTAAAAGGGAGGAAATTTGCCATTTGCAACATGGAGGGACCTAGAGGTTATCATGTCAAGTGAAATAAGTGAGATAGAGAAACACAAATACTGCATGATTTCACACATGTGAAAGATAAACAAAGAAAGTAAAAACAAACTATTAGCTATAACAACAAAATATTTGTTACCAGAATGGAAAAGGGAAGTGGGGAGAACCAACTGGTAAATTGGGATCAGTTGTGTGGTGGTAGATAGAAATGAGATTATTGGTAGAGGTTGTAATATAATATATACAGATGTTGAATATCCTGAAACCTATATAATGTTTTAAATCAGTGATATAATATTTCTATTTTTTTTAAGATTTATTTATTTATGCATATAAGAGCTGGGGTACAGGCCAGAGATGCGGGGGGTGAGAGGCTCCACCAGAGACAGAGTGGGGAACAGAACAGGCAGATTGACTGAAATACACTGCTGAGGGGAGCAGCGGGTGAGACAGGAGAGGTCTGCTGCGCCATGTGGGTTGCTCCTGGGCTGGCCGGGGATTGAACTCGTGCTGCAGAGGCTGCTGATTGCTTCATAGTGCGGTGCTTAATCCCTTGAGCCACCAGGGAGGCCCTGATATAATATTTCAGTAGAAAATTTTTTAAGTAATATATGCTAATTCTTTGCTTCCTTGAGCTGTTCAGAAATTAACATGTACATTTAAACTGCAAATATCTTATCTTTGGGAACAGGTAGCTAGCTGTCTTTAGCTTTAGCTTTCTTTTGCTGTCCCCCGTTTTGCATAAGTTCCTGAATCTTATTCTGGATTACAATAATGCTAAGAAAATGTTTTTCTGCTAAGTCTTTCTTAGTAATTAGACCTTCACTTTCCTAGTGATTATTAGACCCCACAACCATATTTGTCAACATTAGTTTTAATATAGTTATAAATTACTTATTTCTTTGCACTACCATTTCTCTTTTTTAATATATTCTTTCTTAGATTTCTTTTTATTTTTCCTGGATAGCATCTATAATTATTTTTTTCCAAAGCAGTCATATGGCTAACTTTGAAGTTTTATATGTCCTAAATTGTTTTAATTTTTCCCTCATACTTGAGTAATAATTTGATAGGAAATATATTCTTAAAAGTTATTTAGCTTAAAACACTGAAAATATCCAGGTCATAGACAAATAATTTCATATAATAGACATCTAATGCCAGTTTCTGGAGTATAAAAACTATGTAGAACATTGCTGTGACTTTATAGAGTGAAATTTTTAAAGGAAATAAAAACTTGCAAAGCAGTAATTATAGTATGCCTCATTAATACATATCTGGATATTCATGGAGAGATCTGAAAGTTTATTTACCAATTGTGTCAATAGTGATTTATTTACCAATTGTGTCAATAGTGATTGTTTTGTTTTAATTTCTTTCATAATATCTTAGATATTTAAATGATTTCTATGAGTTGGAGCTACAGCATGGTTCTGGTGTTGTGGGTTGGCGCATTCCAGTGACTAAAGGGATTGTGCCTTCTCCAAGAGAATCCCACACAGCTGTTATATATTGCAAAAAAGACTCTGGAAGTCCTAAAATGTATGTTTTTGGTGGAATGTGTGGTGCTCGCCTAGACGATCTATGGCAACTTGACTTAGGTAAGCTTAACTTTATCCAGGTTCAGGAATTGGTTATTAGTGATAAAGGCAAATTTAAAATTGTCTTGAAAAATATTTTTGATTGTAGTATTTATTGAATTGTACTAGATTCATAACTAGCACTTGTGGCCAGCCTGGGCAGCCAAGATACTATATGAATGGTGCTGATCAATCAGGTTGAACACTGGAATGTTTGATTTATGACAGTAATGCTCTTATTTGCCTGGATTGTCTGGGTTTATGCTTGTTGTCCTGGGTTATTATTGGTAGTATCCCCTTTCCCTCTGAAAAGTGTCCCAATTAGGGATGACCAAATTTATGCCATAGTCTAATCTATAGGAGATGTAACATTGTAATTATTATTGCTGGTCAATGAAAAACCCTTGACTAGTTTTTTTTAAAGAGATCCTAGGAATGAATAATTGTTGGGTAGGTGTGCCTCTCACCATTGATGATCTTCTCCACAATATGCTCTTTTTTTTTCAAAAAAAAAAAAAGATTTATGTATTTATGCATATAAGAGATGGGGTACAGGCCAGAGGCGCGGGGGATGAGAGTATTCACCACAGACAGAGTGGGGAGCAGAACAGGCGGATTGACTGAAATACACTGGTGAGGGGAGCAGCAGGCAAACAGGAGAGGTCTGCTGTGCCATGTGGGTCATCGTGCTGCAGTAGCTGTGGATAGCTTCATAGTACTGACGCTTAACCCCTTGTGCCACCAGGGAGGGCCCCACAATATACTCTTACTTAAAATGTTAAAATCCCTAATCTGGTCTTAATTCAAAATTGGTAGCATCCTATATACACCTCTCCGTTAAAAAAACTAACATTCAAGTATAAGTAAATTTTTTGAGTGGCAGGGCTTGTTTATCTTAAGGTGAAATGAACGGTTTTGAAACACATTTGCTTCATTTTGATAATTCCTTTTTTATTTTCAAAAATTCTGCAAGTTGAGGTAATTTGCTATTAATAGATCAAGTTATTAATGTACTTATTTTTATTTTTAGAAACTATGTCCTGGTCAAAACCAGAAACTAAAGGAACAGTACCACTTCCCCGAAGCCTTCACACAGCCAGTGTTATAGGAAACAAGTATGGTCACTTTTTCTTTGTATTTTTTTTTTTTTTTTGCTTTTACTATTATTTATTTTAACCAACTTAAGAATCAGGAATGTACTCAGTCTGTACTCTCTTAATGATTATACTTTGGATGACGTTATGGTTAGAACATAACCAGATTGCCTGAATTCAGGTCTCAACTTTGATACTTGTCCTGTATGACGTGGGACAAAGAAACTTAATCTGTCTCTACCTCCATTTCGTCAAGTTTAAAATGGGGATAATAGTAAAACCTGCTGCACAAGGTGTCATGAAGTCTAAATGGATTAATAAATATTAAATGTTTAGAACAGTGCCTAGTACATAGAGAACACTACATAAAGGTTAACAATTGCTGTCAGCTACAGATCTCCTTATTGTGCAACATTGGGCCAGGATTATAAGTGTTGGTTAAATAGTTTAGTGAAGTATTTACCTGTAAAGGGGCTTTACTTAAAAGTAGTATTTTAGGAAACAACTAGTTATAATTTAGAACTTCACTAGTTCTTCTATAAAAATAACCTTAAAATTTGCTACATTAATTTTTTTTAAAGCAGAACAGCAGAATTTTTTTAAATAGCAGCTGCCCACTGGAACCCTATTTTAAAAAATAGAGCTGCTCTGGTTAACATGAGGTCACATAGGTCCTTTCCTCTACCTAATGGGACTTTCCTTTTCAACAGACATCAGAAATGTCTCAAGAACCCTAGAGGCCTGAACACACATTGTGTGAAGTTTTTTCTTTGAGTGCTGTCAGTGACCAAAATTATATGAAACTTAACCCTCTTTGGTTAGTATATGCATACAGTTCAACACTTAACTGTGGATGTCACAGATAATTTAGTATCTTTTGATTGAGTCACCCGTTGTATATTACATGCAATAAAATTAAATTCTTGACATAAGACTGCTTTATTGATCATTGTCTTATTCCCACTCTCATTACACATGACAGTAAATGAATAGTCCTGAAACTTTGAGTCAACAAATAAGAAATGTAGGTTGTTCTTAGCATTTTAAATCCAAAAAATAAAAGTTAAAGACTTACGAGGAAATCAGCTACTTTATGTTCTCATTTGTTGCTCAGGATGTACATTTTTGGTGGATGGGTTCCACATAAGGGGGAAAATATTGAGACTGCACCTCATGATTGTGAATGGAGATGTACCAGTTCCTTTTCTTATCTGAATTTGGGTAAGTCTTTTAAGAGTAACTTATTGAAATCAATTTTATTAATAAAAGAGTGTTTGTCATCTTATTTAAGAACAAAAGATTAGCCATAGACATTTCTATCTTCTTAGATACAGCAGAGTGGACCACCCTAGTATCAGATTCTCAGGAAGATAAAAAAAATTCAAGACCAAGACCAAGAGCTGGACATTGTGCTGTTGCAATTGGCACTCGATTGTACTTTTGGAGTGGAAGAGATGGCTACAAAAAAGCACTAAATAGTCAAGTTTGCTGCAAGGATCTTTGGTATCTTGATACTGGTAGGTAAGAGTATTTAACAAATAAAATTTTTCCTCTAGGTAAATAGATATTTGAATAATGTTAATCTTCTCTATCCCAAATTAAAAATGAGTGAAAGAAATAATATATGCAGATACTGTATATTTCAGGGTATTTATTTATTTCCTACTCCTTAAGTATAGCTGGATAAATAACTCCCTGTCAAAGAGCAGTATTAAAAGGAAAAAGTAGCTTTACAGTGGTGAAGCTTGGCAAATACCACCTTAATCAGGTACTCAAGGTTAATATTACTAGTGATGTCATGTTGATGTTATTCCTCCCCTCCACACACAATATAAGTGATAAGATACTTCACCTCATTCTCTTCTTTCAACAAATCCATATCCCCACTCAAGTAGATAGCTGAATGTTTAAAGAAGTCTAGAGGCCAATAGGGAAATCAGATCTGGAGATGCCATATATGTTACTCTATGAGAAAAGCATGTTATAAAACATGCCTATGACATAAATTTTTTAAGTGTATTCATAGGAAAATCTAGAAGACAATGTATGCCAAAGTATTAGCTAAAAGGTAAGATTTTTCTTAAGATTATTTCTCTCATATCTGTATTTTCAGCGGTAACATGTATTGCTTTTGAATTTTAAAAACAGTTCAACTTTAAAATAAGTGAAAGAAGTAATAAATGGAACAAGTTAGACATTAAATATTTTTTATGGAAGAAGTACATACTACTTAGCAAACAGGAAAGAAATACAGTAAATCCAGCTTACAGATTTATCTTTGAAATTGGAAAGTATTAACTAAAGCCAACAGATAAGTCTTTTTTTTTTTTTAAGATTTATTTATTTATTTATACATATAAGCACTGGGTACAGTCAGAAGTGCAGGAGGGTGAAAGAGCTCACCAGAGCCAGAGCGGGGAGCAGAGCAGGCAGAAGGACCGAAGTACACTGCTGAGGGGAGCAGCGCGCGTCAGGAGAGGTCTGCTCACCCTGTGGGACCCTCCTCCAGTGGCCGGGGAGCAGCCGGGGATTGAACCGGTGCTGCAGAGGCTGGGGGCAGCTTCGCAACCCAGCGCTCAACTGCTGCGCCACCGGGGAGGCCCAACAGATAAGTCTTGATCCCTGAATTGCAATCAAAATGTGTGCATATAAAATTTTCTCAGTAGTAAACTTACCACTTTAAGCAGTTTCCTTTAGCAATCTGTGTCTTTTAAAAGGTTAAAAAAAAGCATTGGTTCTAAATGACCAGTTTTTACATAAATCTCCACAATAAGTTATAGACATGAATATGTATCTAAAAGTGATCAAATAATATAATGATAAAAGAATGATTAAGAGAATATTATGCGGCCTCCCTGGTGGCGCAGCGGTTGAGCGCTGGGTTGCGAAGCTGCCTGCAGCCTCTGCAGCGCCGGTTCGATCCCCGGCTACTCCCCTGCCACCGGAGGAGGGTCCCACATGGCGCACAGACCTCTCCTGCCGCCCGCTGCTCCCCTCAGCAGTGTACTTGGGTCCTTCTGCCTGCTCTGCTCCCCGCTCTGGCTCTGGTGAATTCTCTCACCCTCCCGCGCTTCTGACTGTACCCAGTGCATGTGTAAACAAAACAAACAAACAAACAAATAAATAAATAAATAAAACATGCCTCTAAAAAAAAAAAAAAAAAGAGAGAGAATATTATGGCTACTATTGTGAGGGCAAAATCTGGGTTTTGCTTTTCTTTCTTTTTTTTAATTAAATATTTATTTATTTATTTATACAAGCACTGGGTACAGTCAGAAGCGTGGGAGGGTGAGAGAATTCACCAGAGCCAGAGCGGGGAGCAGAGCAGACAGAAGGACCGAAGTACACTGCTGAGGGGAGCAGCGGGCGGCAGGAGAGGTCTGCACGCCATGTGGGACCCTCCTCCTCCAGTGGCCGGGTTGCAGCCGGGGATCGAACCAGCGCTGCAGAGGCTGCGGGCAGCTTCGCAACCCAGTGCTCAACCGCTGTGCCACCGGGGAGGTCCTGCTTTTCTTTCTTTAAATAAGTTGGCATCAATTTTTTTTTTTTTTTTTTTTTTTTTTTTGGTGGAAGGCAAGATTGGGGACCTTGCCTTTTTTCACTTTAGTTGTATTTTGTGCATTTGATAACATATAAAAGAGTAATACAGTTCCATAAGACCTTTTATGAGAAATAGTAGTCTTTTGGTCCTCCCTTTCTCCCATTTTCCTTGCTTCACAAGCACCTGTTTTAAACTCTGTTAAACATTTTTTTTGGTTTTTACTTCCATGTAACATGAATTTAATGTTACTTTTATTTTCTCAGCTTAAGCATGCTATGCTCACTTTCTACTATGAAAGTTAAAGGATTATTCCTCTTGAGCCTCCCTGGTAGTGCAAGGGGTTAAGCATCGCACTATGGGGCAATCCGCAGCCTCTGCAGCACTAGTTCTATCCCCGGCCCTCCAGAGAGCGGCCCACATGGCGCAGCAGACCTCACCTGACTCCCCTGCTGCTCCCCTCAGCAGAGTGTTTCAGTCAGTCTGCCTGTGTTGCTCCCCACTCTGTCTCTGGTGAATCCTCTCTCCCCTGCATATCTGGCCTGTACCCCAGCTCTTGTGTGCATAAGTGGATAAATCTTTTTAAAAAAAAAGGATTAATCCTCTTCCCTCCATTCCTTAGGTCTCTCCTGTGTACCTTTCCTGCCTTACCCATTCTCTCAATATGATTCACTGTGATTTTGTTAGATGAGTATTCAGTGTTTACAGTTAACTACATCAACACTATTCACAGATAAGCCATATAAAATACTATGAATACCTTCCTTACACAATTTTTTATTTGCCATGGATTAATAATTGTCACTTTTGTTTTAGATTTATAGTATTTACCAGTAATTAAATCCATACTCTTTGTTATTTGCTTAAATCTTCTCTCATTGTGGTTAGATGCATCAGATATTCTATCAAATTTCATCATCTTGAAGAAATTTCTCCTGCACCAATCTGGGATGGTTGCCCTCCACAAATCAAGCACAGCTATCATCTTGGAGTCTCCCTTCATGATCTTCCTGGGGATAGTTCTTGCCTCTCATCTGTACCGGATTCCCTGTTTTCTGGATCCCATGTTTTTTCCTCTCTTAATTTTGCTTTCTCATTTTTTGTGAAATACATCCCAGGAAAATGGTGCATAGGTGATAAATTTATTTTGAGATCTTAACATTGCTTGAAAATATGTTCAATCTTCCTTTCCATTTAATTGTCAGTGTGCATGGAAATAAAATTCTGAGTTGGAAGTCATTATCCTTCAAATTTTTGAAGCATTGTTCTATTGTATTCCAAGTTTAGTGTTTTTACTGAGAAATCCAAACCACTCCTAATTTTTGGTCCCCCACAAGCTTTTAGGATTTTTTTGTCCCCACAGTTTCTGAATTTTATGATGATATACCTAAAAATACATCTATTTTTAATCCATTGTGCTGAGTCTCCACAGGCACTTTCAGTCTGGAAAGAAGTTCTTCAGTTCTGGGAATTTTCTTGATGGATTTTGTTGCTTTGCACCTTTCTGTTTTTTCTGTTCTCTCCCTATAACTTCTATTGTGTGGGTGGTGTACCTCCTGGACTTGTCTTATTGCCTGCTTTTGTTCAGGTGTGGGTTGCTTTACTTTGAGAAACATGAAAGAACTGAATTGTGAATAGGATCATGGAGGAATTTGCATGGGAGTAGTTGAAGGAACTAGGTTTAATTATCCTCTAAAACAGGGTCATCAACTTTTTTCCTATAAAGCCCCAGAGAATAAATATTTCAAGCTTTATGGGCCATATGGTCTGTTATAACCACTCAATTCTACTATTGTAGCATGAAATAAGTCATACACAAAACAAATGAATATAGCCGTGTTTCAATAAAATTTTATTACAAAAGCAGACTTGGTCAGGATCTCACGAGTCATTGTTTTAGAGTAGGACTCTAAAAGACACAAAGAGTTCTATAAGGATTAAATTATAGCTTATAGATTTTCACTCATTAGAAAAATTAATTTTCTTTCATAACTGTCCAGAGGTAGAATGTGCTGCCTTGGGAATTGTGAGTTCCCTGATATGGTAGGTATATAAAGAAAAAGAACAGGATATTGTCACAGTAATCTCAGAACTTTTTTTCCAGTCTATGATTGTTACTTGTTTTGGAAATGTTGATAATACTTTATACCAAAGCAGTTACCAGTTTGGGGTAGTATACATTTTGATAAAAGGATCTTAACATCAAAGGAGTTATGTTTTTAAAAATATGGTCAAGTCATCTTTGCTAACATTAACAGTATTTCTAACATTTATGCTGTTGGCTAGAATTGGCTCATAACATTTAAAAATATATGAAGAAGAATATAATTATAAAATACATGTTTTTCCCAATTCTAAGAGTAAACATTTTTTTCTGAATTTGAGGACTCAAGTAGCCTGAAATTTTTGTTTGTAGATTTATTTGTATAACCAAATAAATAAATAAGAACCAGAACCCCAACTCCTTTCATTTGACCTATTGTATCTATGTTTATCTGAGTAAAATTTGTCCCTCTTGGTAAACAGGTAAAATGTTCATTGCTGATGTTTTCAAAACTCCAGATCACACAACTATTTAGGTGGGTGAACTTTTGATACTTTTGCAAATTAAATATATAATATTAATATTGTTCTTTAGAGAGACCACCGGCACCATCACAAGTACAGCTGATCAAAGCCACTACTAACTCTTTTCATGTCAAGTGGGATGAAGTACCTACAGTTGAGGGCTATCTTTTGCAATTGAATACAGATTTGCCATACCAAGCTGCCTCATCAGAGTCCTCAGCAGCACCACATGTGCAAGGTAAAACAATTTTCACAATCAAAGCATATTTGCTCATATGCTTTAAAATATGTATCCTGCAGAAAAGCCTGTGATTAGTTCTGGTTTAGGATATTTTATGAAGTATTGGTCCACACTTGATAACTATGTTTTGTTTCCACTCTGAAACTTGATTTTCTTATCATTTTGATGTAGAACACATAGACATATAGGATAAAATGCGTTCATGCAATTTATTATAATGTACTTTCTTAATTTGGTATCCTGTTTGACTCAGGTGATGGCTTTAATTCATTTTCATAAATATTTCATCCATTTTCAAAAGTACTTTTAACTAAACAGGCACTTGGAAAGTAAAAGCAAATTTAATTTTACATGTTCTTCCAGAAAGGATTTCAGTCAACTACTAAGCAAAAAATTAAGAAAATAAGCTTTAATAATGATCCTACTTTTTAATCTTTAAATATGCAACTAAACAAATACTTGATTGTAATGTATTTTATTGAAGCTAATTTAGAGCATATCAGTCTGAATTTTCTCATATTCCTACAGGAGTCAGGATGGACCCTCACAGACAAGGCAGTAATAGCATCATTCCTAGCAGTGTAAGTTAAATGAATGTGTAATGGTAAATGAATATTTGTGTTTATAATCCCAGTTTTCATTAATATTGAACATATTACCATAGAACAGGGGTTTTTAACTGTAATGACTCATGAGAATCACCTCTGAGATTAAAAAACACTGATTCCCAAGCCCTTCCTCAGATCTAGTGAAGCAGAATCCTTAGGATGATGGTGAGGCAGCTCTGTTCTAGAGAAAGCTGTGTAGATCATTATGATACTTGCTTGACTCAGGAACCCCTAGCCAAGAGACTGATGTCTAGCCTCATTACACATGGCATCAGAGACTAATTAAAACCAGTACTCAGAGTATTTTGAAATCTGCATTTTGACATTTCTAAATATCATGCACACTCTTTTAAAATGTCTTAGGGTGTGCTTCAGAAATCTATTTGAAATATTTTTCTTTACTATGTGTTTGCTTACCAAGGAATATGATTTTCTAAATTAGGCACTTTCATTTGTGAAGTTCTTATTTATAAGAACTTATTTATAAAGTGCTATTTCTTATTTATAAAGTGCTTCATAGTAGGTCTTTGTGGAGACTGATGAATAAGTTTACTTAGATTCACTGTTTTTATCTGGCAAATTGCTATCTATATCCACAGCAGACTCTTTTCAAAGAAAGATATAGATGTAGCTCACACATTTTGAGCATGGCTGAGGACCCAGTAGTAAGCAGAAAAAGCTATAGTATGATAGGAAGGGTATATAGCAGGTAAAACCCGTACAGCTGTTTTTGAGTAGCCTATGTAGCTACATATAGTGTTTGTGTGCATGTACCTACATACATATATATACACACATATACAGATTGTGTCTATTACATATATATATTAAATGTTGATTATATAGTATATAATGTGTTTGTGTGTGTGTGTGTGTGTATGTGTATCTTACACATGTAGAATGTACTACAAGGCCAATGAAAGATAAGGATCTCCTACTCTGACTCCCCCTGCACTTGATTCTTGCTCCCTAGAAACTGATACTTTCAACGTTTTTTGCTTTCTTCTGGTATCTCTCTTTGGACTTTTAAATAAAACCCATACACGGCTATTTCATAACATTCTAGTTTTAGATTGGTGGTCTTTAATAATGGAAGATGAAGATTTGATGATATCTTAAAATATTGCTCTTTACTCCCTCTCCTCTTTCCAACATCCTTTAACTGTTTTTAGTCAAATCACGATTTGATGTTTATGTTGAGTTACGTAGTGTGCTATGAGCATTGTTCCTTTCTCATCCAGCTTTTTGTTTTTCATCACATTGTGAAATGCTTTACTTTTTCATTTGCTCAATTTTCTTCTTACCTGTCATTAATTCATACTCACATTTTCCAACAAAAAATGATAAAACACTTCTCAAAATAGTTAGACATATAGGTTAGTTTCCTTTTGTCTTTTTTCTCTCTGTTGGAACCATCCCTCTGTCCTATGTTCTGGTCTGTGCTGGTTCTTCTCTAGGCCTGCCATAAGCTGTCATCACAGGACTTCCACTTGCTGATACCTGGAATTTCTTCTCTTTTCCTATGCTAGAGGAAACATGCTGGATCATGTTTCTTTTTTTTTTTTTTTTTTTTTTTTTTTTATAGAGGCATGTTTATTTATTTGTTTGTTTGTTTGATGGTTTGTTTATACATGCACTGGGTACAGTCAGAAGCACGGGAGGGTGAGAGAATTCACCAGAGCCAGAGCAGGGAACAGAGCAGGCAGAGGACCGAAGTACACTGCTGAGGGGAGCAGCGGGCGGCAGGAGAGGTCTGCGCGCCATGTGGGACCCTCCTCCGGTGGACGGGGAGCAGCCGGGGATCGAACTGGCGCTGCAGAGGCCGCGGGCAGCTTCGCAACCCAGCGCTCAACCACTGCGCCACCGGGGAGGCCCCTGGATCATGTTTCTTGATCTCATTTCTTCCTCTTATCCATGGTTTCCGCTCGTTGTGTTCTGACACTCTCTCCGGGAGTTTCCTGAGAAATGATTTATGAAAGGTAAACTTTTTTTAGCTCACCTTTTTCTGAAAGGCATTTATCTGAAAATGCCAGTTGTCTATTCACATTTGACTAGTAGTTTGGCTGGGTTATAGGATTCTGTATTGGAATCATTTTCCCTCAGAAATTTGAAGGCATGTTCCTTCTGTCTTTTAGCATTCAGTGTTGTTAATGCCTCTTGGAGTCCTGATCCATATATGTATGACCTAAGTTTTTTTCTTTTTATCCCCAGTATTCTGAAATTCAATAGTGATGTGCCTTAGAATATATGTCTTAATTCATTATGCTCTGCACTTGCTGGACCCCATCATTCTGGAGACTTATAGCTTTCGTTACTGATTATTTCTTCTTCTACTTTCTATTCATGTTGCTTTTTTTTTTTTTTTTTTTTTGGTCTTCCTGAACTAATCCTCTGATTTTATTAGATATTTCCTATTTTGTATCTTTTTGTCTGTTCTGCTTTCTGAAAGAATTCTTCTTTTGTATAAATTTTTGTCCAATTTCTAAATGTACTCAACCACATGTTTCATTTTAATTATTTTTATGTTTAAGTTCTAATTATTTCTTTAATTATTCCTTATTTTCTTTGTAGCAGCTTATTCTTACCTTATAATTATCTTTCCTTTTCAAGAATCATGCTTTTAACTTGGAGTTTTATTCTGCTCTCTGCAATATGTCTTTTCCTCAAGCTCCTTTAAAATAACTTTGTTTTGGCCTTGGACCTTATTGTTAAAGGCTGTCAGCACTTGTCTGGAGATACTTGGATGTCCTTTCATGGCCATTCTGTCATGTCTTTATGTCCTTTAAAGTGAGGCATTAAAAAGGAACGTGGAGAATGTCGTAGTCTGTTCGGGCTGCTGCTGTAACCATGCCATAGAATGGATTCTTTAGAAATAGTGGAAACTTATTCCTCACATTTTGGAGGCTGCGAGTCTGAGATCAGTGTGCCTACATGGTCAGGTTCTGATTGAGGCCCTTCTTCAAGTTTGCAGACTGGCGGCTTCTTATGGTAGAAGGGGTAAGGGAGCTTTCTTGGGGCACTTTTATGGAAGCATTAATTATCTCCCCAAGGCCCTACCTTCCAATCCCATCACCTTGGAGATTAGGTTTCAACATAAGGATGTGTGGAAGACACAAGCATTCAGACTAAGGCAGAGGTCTTTACAGAGGGGTTGGACTTGTTGACTAGAAGTCCTTAACCAGGGTGATGCGAAGGGACCTAGAATTATCAGTATCTGCAGGGCTTTTCTCTTAGACTGGTGGGTTTTCCAAGAATTCACCAACTTCCCACATAAGGGCTGTAAGCTTGACTGTCAGTATTCTGGGAGCCTAGTGAGGGAATGCTGGGGTTGGGGGCCGGTGTCGGGGGCTGGTATCTGTTCAGTATGCAGACTTCAGCTTAATCTCCAGTTCTAGTATGGGTCCTCTCTTCTGCACCCCCTGAGGGGCACTGACCCATAGTCCAGAGCCTCGTATTTCAACCTTCCTGCTTATTTTCTATCTTTAGTCAAAACGGGAGAGAGAGGTGATCATTAGGTTGGGTTTTTTTGAGGAATCTCCCCAAAATGTGTGTTTAATCTATGTTCAACCAAAATCTCAGGGCTCATTTATTCTCATTTTACACAATTTAGTTAGATTGCCTTATTTTTAAGCCAAGAGCACATTAGGGACACCATAAATGGAGACTTTGGAATTAAATAAACCTAAATTCAAATTCTAGCTCTGCTATTTACTGGCTCCCTGACTGTGGATATAGTGCTTAAGATCTCTGAATTTCATTTTCTTCATCAAAGAGCGATAGAGGTAATAATATCCAATTTCGGGATTCCTGTGAAGATTTAATGAGGTACAGACTTCATGTTTCACAGTGGCTGTTGGTGCTCCCTAGTGGCTGTGGCCAGCGTCATCTATTGACAGGGCATGTGATGTGCAGGTGCCCCTGCAGGCATGAGAAAGTTATACATGAAAGGGTCACAGTTGATGTACAGGAAGAGAAAGAAAAGTAACAGAAAACAGGTACCTACAAGGGGTAGCAATGTTGGGTTATTTGAATAAAGCCAGAGATCACTTTATAGTTCTGTCTACCTGTAGATAGAGCTTTATAATAACTGATGTTCACATTGATGGCATGAATTATCAAAATGTTTAAATGTGCTCATTATAGTATATTTAAGTAGACAAGAAAAAATGTAATTTTTCCTATTTAAAATGTTAAATGTTAAAGAATATTAATATGTATGTATTAAATCTTGATATTTGTATGAAAAACTTCATCATACAGAATAATTCATTTGCTTTAAGGTTCCATACAACTGAGATTTTACTTTGAGGAGTCATCAGTTCTATAATCTGACCTCATTAAGAAAATCTATGAGAATGTTGAACTTGTTAGCTTTCATATTCTCTCCTATACCACCTATATAATTATTTACTTGTAATATATACTAACTACTGCTTAAAAAATGTAAACTTTTCCCCCTGAAAATATACCTTTATTTTCTACTCATAATTGACCTTTTGAGAGTGGAGATTAAATGAAAAGAGATTGTTTTCTTAAACTATTGCAAAACTTAAATAATGAATCTATACAAGTTAAAAATATAATTTGAAGATATTTTATATTTTGACAAACTTTCAATAGATTTAAGTTGTAAATTTTTTATGTGTATTTCTATATAATTGATTGTTGATTGTTGTAATAAGCTTATTTTATTTCTTGTAGATCAGTGATACAATGAACAGCGCAAAAACTGAACAATCATCTGTGAAAGGAACTTCAACAAAAAATAAACCGGATCTGAAAATATCAACTGATTCTAATGCCATTTTACATTCTTCTTTGGCAACTAATGCTTCTAATCATAATAGTTGTGTGGCGGATATGCTAAGGAAAAATGAAGGTATAAAGATGGCATTCTGAATAAAACAAAAAATTTCTATAGTAATGTTAGGGAATTTTAGAATCTTTGAAAAAGTAAATGTGAAATGACTGACTCATTTTCCAGATTACAGTTTACCTTACCTAACATACCGACTCCCACTGGGGTGATGTTGGAATGCCAAGGAGGCCGTCTGAATGGTATTGCCTGAAGAGTAATGATTAGTTACTCACTATGGAATTTAAATAAGGCAGATTCTCATAGGACTTTTGAGGCTGGCCAAGTGTGTTTGGTGTCATTATCCCATTATTTTCTTTCCTTTGCACTATGACTTTGAAATTATTTATTTCAACAGGAATTTTATCTGTTTACCTCTTTTTCACTACTATTTCCCCTGGTAAATAGTAGTCACTTAGTAAATATTTGTTTAGCTAGTAACTGGATTATCCTCAGAAAGGAATTTCATTTATGAGAACTATTCATTAGTCTGTTCTGGAGACAGTTTATAATGTGATGATTCTTATATTTAAAATAAGTTAACAATATTTATTCCCTTTATTTCCATTTTACTTTATAGTTAATGGAAGATAAAAATATTCAAGGAAAATAATCTCCTATATTTTACTCATTACTTGTGGAAGAGGAGGCTTCTTTTGTTTTCTTTTTTTTTTAAAGATTTGTTTTTATTTTTACACAAGAATTGGGGTACAGGCCAGAGATGCGGGGGGTGAGAGGATTCACCAGAAAAAGAGTAGGGAACAGAACAGGCAGAAGGATGGACTGAAGTACACTGCTGAGGGGAGCAGTGGGCGAGACAGGAGAGGTCTGTCCCGCCCTGTGGGTTTCTCCCAGGTGGACCAGGAATGGAACTCCTGCTGCAGTGGCTGCAGATTGTTTCATAGGTTGCGTCTTAACCCCTGCGCCACCAGGGAGGCCCGGGTTCTTTTGTTTTATTGACTTTTTTTTTTATGGAAGGGAATCATGTGGTCATGACTATAAAAGCTTGGTCCTGGACTCTAATTAAGAGTTATTTCTCATATGATTTTCTTTGTCTATCATATAAAAAAGTTCAGATTCTTGAAAGGAAATATGAGCTTTGAGATTTCAGAATCATAATGCACTTAAATCTTATGTTATAAGGCAGTTCAGTGGAAAGACCAGAGTGGTTGTGCAGACAGTGTCTGGCACATCATAGACTTGCCAATTATGAATGAATCTTACGTTAACAATTGGATGTTGGACTTTTTCTCTGTAGGTTGGAGTAACTGGTATGTTTCAAAAATAGAATGACATGAATTAGATTATTTTTGGAAAGAACACTCTAGCCTCACCATCAGGAAGAACTGTTGTGGGGCATGATTGGGAGACGTGTTAAAGGGTTCTTTTAGGACTTGGGGAGATGCATAGAGATTGAGGCAGTGAGCATGGTAGAGTGGATAGAAAGTAGCATGTATGAGGCTAGAAATTGGTAGGGTATGAGAACTTAAAATGAGTTAAACATGACTCTCAGTTCTGGGGGTTGCATATGTAACCTAAGATATACAGGAGCAAGAACAGATTTGGAGAAAAAATAGGCTTGACTTTGATCTTAAACTGTTTTTTGAGGTAAGAAAGGAGGAACATATGAGTAAAGATTTCTAGTGGGTGGTTGGATGCTCAGATCTGGAGTCTAGGGGTCAGTGTAGGGCTGAACATGAATAGTTAAGGATATCTAAAATGTAAGCTCCAAGAGCAGGAGCTTGTCTGACTTGTTCATTGCTAGAGTCCCAGGCCCTGGCGTAGTGCCTGGACATATGTATTTGAGAGATATATGTTTCATGATGGTAATTGAAGCACAGGGGAAATAAAAGAAGAAAAAAGAGACCTATGGAATACTTGCATTTGAAGAATCATTTACTGGAAGAAGGAAGTCAGCTAAAGAGATTTAAAAATGGTTCCTAAAGGGTTAGGGAGAGAACCAGAAAGATCATTTTGTTTTGTTTTGTTTTTTTCTCTATAGTGGGCATCACAGTTTGACTATGTATTTTTGTGTGTGTACATGTTCCTCTCTGCCATATAACTAAGTGTGTGAAACAGGAACCATCCCTTTGTTTTTCCATTATAAAAGCAAACACACTGTCTGGAAGAGAGTATATCTCCAGTGTTATAGAGTTATAAAAGAAACAGCTTCAAAAAGGAATATGTGGTCAGCAGTGTTTACATTGCAGAAAGATCAAGTAAATGAAAATTGAAAACTTTCCCATAGAAATCACTGATATTTGCCAGAACCATTTCATTAGAGTAATGTGCTAGAAACCAAATTTGGGGGAGGTCAAGGAAGTAGAGAATGCTCTGAAGGGAATCAACAGGGGACTTAGTAGCTGGAGAAGACCTTTGGGGTTGAGAAGGGTGTGTGTATTTGCGTGAAAGACTTGATAATGTTCATGGAATGAGGGCCAAAAATTACTGAAGAATCTGAAAACTCTGAAGAGAGTAGTAATTGATGAAAGAGGGTCCCAATTTATAGGGGGAGGAACGGGAACAAGCGCATGGGAGGATAAATTTCCCTAGGAGAGATTTCAGTTCATCCTCTGAATGGAAGAGAAGTCAGAGAGAATGGGCACAGTCATAAATATGTTTCCAGTTCAGGGCAGGAGAAGGCAGAAAATAAGGGGCATTCATGCCTGATCACCTCTTTAACCTCTGTTTTTTCCCTAAAGTGACCATTTTATGCATGATTTAGTAGATTTTGAGAACAATGTTTCAATGTTTAGAATGGAAAAAGGAGCTGAGAAGTTAGACTTGTTATGGATATAATGTACTTTATTTTCCTAAACATTTTATGCCAGGTGGTTAATTCATATAAATAACATTTGTGGTATCTATGTTTATGATTTTAAAACTGGAAATACCTATCATTACATGATGAGAGCTATTAGATACGATAATGATCTGCAGGTATTATGTTAATAATTGATTTTTTCCCCTTCAATTTTAGGTCCTCACACTTCAGCAAATATAGGTGTTCTTAGTAGTTGCCTGGACTTAAGAACAGTAATCCCTGAAACTTCTGTATCCAGTACTGTTTCCAGTGCACAAACTATGGTAACCCAGCAGACCATTAAAACTGAGTCATCCAGTACAAATGGGGCAGTTGTTAAAGATGAAACTTCACTAACAACATTCAGTACCAAATCTGAAGGTTTGAAATGTGTTTCACATACTGTATTTTGAACCATTTATGTATATAAATTCATCCAACTTACTTGTTTTAGATGGTAATTGCATTTCATTTTGGTTTGAATCATATATGAACAGATAAAGTATTTCAATTCAGTCATTAGCAATTTATTTTCCCAAAAAAAATTAGTTCTAGACTATGGAGCAACAGTTCTCCCAGCTTGATCGATAATCTGATTTTGTAAATTCTTGTTCTTTCTTTTGTATGAGGAATTATGTTTCATCTTTGGTAGACTTTCTCTGATGTTCTCACTAGTCATCAAAACTTTGAAAAATGAACTTTGTGAATTAGTTTGAATTAGCAGTTACCATATTTCTAATTACTGTGATCTCCATCTGGCTATTTTTGTATAAATTATATTTTAATGTGTCTTTTTAATAAGTGCTTATGTAAGTCTTATCTGATGAATTGTTTAATTTTCAGTTGATGAAACATGTGCACTGCCTGCAACTAAGATCAGCCGTGTAGAAGCACACACTACTGCAATGCCTTTTTCTGTAAGTATATAAAGTAATGCAGAGATGATGTGTGCTTACAAATGGCTAAGTGTTTTAAATGCTGAGCACTTCTGACATAAATTCTGGAAAAGATTCTTAGCTATCATCTAGTAATGACTTGACATAGATTTAGAAATGGAGGGTTGAATAGGAAAACTTTCACAGTGTAATATTATGTGAAAAAGCTAGATTAAAAATGATGTATGTACTGTCATCCCTTTGTATTAAAACATCCCTTTATATTAAATCTTGTGAAGGCACTCACCCTCCTCTGCCTCCCCCCACCTCCCCAGTCCAAGCACAGCCCAGCACTATGTGCAGGGGTGACTCTTTCCAAGTTGTGGGGCCTCAAATAATATTTATTTTCTTCTTTGTAATTTTTGTCTTCTTTTTGCTTTCAATATTTTTCTATAATGAAATGTGTTACTTTCATAATCATAAGTGTGTGAGTATTAATGGCTTAAAGAATAAAAGGATGTGCCATGGAACATAAAGTTTGAATGGTTCTATTACTAGCTACTTAATAGGAGCACAACAGAATATTGCAATACTGGGTTAGATGTCCATGTAGGGGAGCACCATAATCTCTGACATTGGGCTGTTTTATGGAAAAGCAGAATTGCCCTGCATGGCACCAAACTTAAAATGCTAGGAATGTACCTCACAAATATAGCAAGATCGTCTTAATTAGAGAAATAAAGGATAATACATGTGTGTGCATACTTTTAAATTTATTTTTAAGTTATCAGTGTTTTCAACTTCACTGCTATTAAGAGTTTTTATTTGACCTAATATTTTCCCTTCAGAATCTTTAAGGATTATCTATAGCTTTAGTTTTCTTTCAGTCATGGTTTTAATTATTTACCTTCATTAGCTTAAACCTTTCTAGACTGTTAAGTTCCAGTATTCTTAGACCCTTCTCAGAGAAGAATTAATAAAATGAACTGTTTGTTTTTCTTAAATCTCTTTTGCATTGGCCAGAATGGTATTTGTTATTTCAGTTGGAGCCAGTTGTTTTATAAAAGTTGTTGAAGAGAGTTTTTACAACCTTAAAAATGAAAACAAGCTTAAAGCTATTCCTTTAAATAGCTCTTCTTGTTAGTTCACTTTGTCATGTGTGATAGCCTAAATAACAAGTACTGTGAATTATAAGCATGTACCTCTGCTGTTATATATTTAAGACAGAAATAAATAACTGAAGTGCACATTTGTTTTGAGCTTCTGGAAACAGTGTCTCATTTATAAAGAAGATGGCTTAAAAAGGTTAGTTCCAGGGATAAGTATAATTCACTTATCACTAAAAGTAGCTTAAGGTAGAGGAAGTTTATTTGTTTTAAAGCAAGGTAAACAATGTAAAGCTGTTTAATTTGCACCTCTTTAGTGTATACTAAACTACATGCAAATTGCATTTTAGTTTTGAACATTTTTTCTCCTTTTAGGTTTGGAGAATCACAGGTATTTTCAAGTACAAAGATCACTGAATTCTGCTAGTTGTTTTTGAATCTAGAAATCAGCCAGCTTGGAATGGATTTATCTTATTTGCTCCTTTGGAGCAAGTTGTAATTTCACACTAAAGGGATTACATTTTCTGAGAGTCTCTGAAATGACAATATTCTATAAAACAGCTGGCATTTTAACATACCACTGATTGGAAAGCATGCTAACTCCAACTAGGTTGATAGTTCAGAGTTACTGACTTGGAGAATGCCTGTCACTCCCTATGTTTGAATTGGCATCCCTGTTTCACTGTCAGTCGACCTAATCTGTTAAGAGTTTATTTACTTATGAGTTATTAATGTTGTGGTGTTTACCCATATACCTACTTGTAGATCACTGCATGGATTTATTAAATCTTGAAGTTTCTTGTATGCTTAATAAGAGTGTTCATAAATTTTTCTTTCTCTAAAATTAGAAAGAGACTCCTTCAAATCCAGCGGCCGCAGTGAAAGCAGGAGAGCGACAGTGGTGTGATGTAGGAATTTTTAAAAACAATACAGCTTTGGTGAGCCAGTTTTATTTGCTGCCAAAAGGGAAGCAAAGCATCTCAAAGGTAGCTATTAATATATTTTCTATACTGTGAGGTAGAAGCCTCAAGAATGAGATATTTTTCTTACAGGTCTGATTCAGGTCACTTGAATGAATAAAATTGGGATATGTTCACAATCTGTAATTGAAAGTTTTATATGCCTAGTTATATTTTGCCTAGTCACAAGCAGGTCGTTGAAAAATACTAATCACTGGATTGGATTCTTAGTCATAAATAATGCAGTCTGGCTAGTACAGTGAAGGATTTTTTGAAATATCTCTAATATTTGTTACCTGGGTATGTTTAGAGAATAGAACAGTTTTTTCTTAGAGAATTTTTTAAATTTCTGATTTCACATTTTAAAAAGCATTTATAAAAATACCCTGGTTGCTACTGAATACAATCTAATTTTCCCTTCATTCTGAAATCCCTTAAAGAAAACCTCATACATAAATGAGACATTAACTCTCTAAGAATTATTACATAGATAACAGCCCGAAGCATATGAACGAGTTTTTCTTTTTTATGGGATGGGGAATTTCAGAGATAGGATTGCCAAAGATACTCAGTTTGAATCTCCCAAAGATCTGTACAAATGGAGAATATAATACTTGCCATTATATTTTAGTTTTTCTAATATTGCTTGTTGTCCCTCTTTTTCATACTGAAATTTTTCAATTCTTGAAAGAATGTTAATCTTGGTAAATTATTTGTTAGTATTAAGTCTAATGAAATTTCTGGCTATAGTTTGAGTTCATATATGAGAAAGTATTGATATTCTGAGGGCCTAGTAGCTACCTGTTTTTCCCCAAAACAAAAAAGAACATACAGTTTAAAGCCAGTAAACTTGGATTTGAATCATTAGTTCTAGCACACTCAGCAGTGAGACATTGGATAAGTCACGTGGTTAGCCTTTCTGAGGCTCAGTTTCCTCATCAAAAAAATGGGATGACTTAGCTCCCCTAAAAGTTGGGATGATACATTGATACACAGCAATGGAGTGAGGACTAGGGAGAATATGTACAAATTATTTGAAAGTTGTGAATGTTATATTCCTACGCAGAGTATGCAACCCATTTATTTACCACTTGCTCAGCATCTAGTAAAAATTTTTAAAATGGTCCTTACTACATGCTAATCACTTATTTTCTGTCAAATTTGCTTGCTTATGTCCAAAGGGTGTTGTTTCTGGTTAGAAACAACAGTAAGTCTGCAATTTCTAGTTCAATTTAGGTTTACTTGGAGATGGGGTAGTTGCTACTTTGTTCATCGTGGTTGCCGATTTTTTTTTTACCTTTGTACAAGGCTTCCTGTGCAAAATGGCCACACATTTCCTTTTCATAATCAGTGATTCAAAATTGGAAAGGGCACTTTTCCTCTGGATAAAAATCACCAATTTATGGGCTTAATTGCTTTTGTACTGGAGGATTTATTCCATGTGTGAAAGAAGAAAATGTGAACAAAAACCTTAAGACATCATTCTTTAAAAGTTTTGTTATTTAATGAAAAAGTAATTCATTCCACTTTTTTATGACTCTTGCATATGCTACATTTTAGATAGGAAATGCAGACGTACCTGACGACAGTTTACTCAAGAAACAAGATCTTGTTCCAGGCACGGGCTATCGATTCAGGGTTGCTGCCATCAATGGTTGTGGAATAGGCCCTTTCAGCAAAATCAGTGAATTTAAAACTTGCATTCCTGGTTTTCCTGGAGCTCCTTCTGCAGTCAGAATTTCAAAGGTGAGCTGTCAAACCAACAGCTGGAGTGATTTAAATTATTGAACTTAGTATATGAAGTAAAACTGCTTAGAGCATCTTGTTAGTGTCGGATGGAATGAGAAAAACCTAAAAAGGATGGATTAAAAGTTTTTAAAGTACTTTTTTGCTAATCATTCATGGTATTTTTAAGGACCAAATTTCAAGTAGAATTAAAGCATTCAAATTAAAGTTGTTAGGGAAATCTAGTATATTCCTTAAAATTAACTTTGTGTTGTCACACACCCAAAAAGTTTGTGCCGAGAATTTTAATAGAACACATGAAATTGGGTTACATTTTGTCCTAACTTCTAGTCCCTCTTAGAGAAGCAAAGCTTTACTTTCATGTAAACAAAATTCATTTCTTGGGATTTTGCAGGCAGAAATTTAAGCATATTTATGTTTTTGAAAACTGGTTATGAATTAAATATTGTTGATCCAGTTAAGATACATTTTTAAAAATTAACAATAAAAATTAGACTATCCAAAGCAGTTATTTTAGTGAAAAGCAGCATTTTGTATTCCAATGATAGCCTCAATATAAGTGATATAAGAAACTTGAAAACTTACATCATTTTTTTCCCTCTCTCTTCAAGAATGTTGAGGGTATCCATCTTTCCTGGGAACCTCCAACTTCACCTTCTGGAAATATTTTGGAATATTCAGCTTACTTGGCTATTCGCACAGCACAAATACAGGATAATCCAAGTCAGCTTGTGTTTATGAGGATTTATTGTGGTCTTAAGACATCGTGTATAGTAACTGCGGGGCAACTTGCAAATGCACATATTGATTATACATCCAGACCTGCCATTGTATTCAGGATATCAGCAAAGAACGAAAAGGGATATGGACCAGCTACACAAGTTCGATGGCTTCAAGGTAACAATAAGAAAGCACCTTTAAATTGAAAATTTTTTACTGAAGCATAAATAATGATGATTATTTATTAGTAACTCGTTATAAAGTTTGTCATTTGAAAGAGTATTCTCTGTATTTCTAGCACTTATGAATTTGAGTTTGTAAGTTGTTCTTAAAATGTATTTGCTCAATTTTAGATCCAAATAAAAATAGAAAAGAAGCAAAGACTCTCTGAAAATTAGTACATGGACTCTTCCTTATAGTTATAGCTCTTTTATAAAGGAAAATAGTAAAAATTAAGATAAAAGCTAGAGGTTTTTATTACCCCAGTATCTTTTATAAAGGCCATGTAATTCAGTCATCCTAGAGTTATTGAGGTGATTCTAGTAACTGGCTGTTGTGCACTGTGCTGTCCTGTATAGTAGATGCTCTCTCTGTGTCAATGCCCTGTCTTTGAGTGTTCCCTTTAACTTAACTCTGTATGAGCAATGGTCCTCTAACAGCTTATCTTTTGTATAGTATTTGTGATACTCATTTAGTAGGTATTTGATTCCTTTCTTTGTTTATCCACAGTTAGCACAAAACCTAGAAAATATAAAAGAAAGAGGCAAGTTTAGAAACCCTACTTTTGAATTTTTATTATTTTCTAAGAATCATGTTAAAGTACAAAAAGCATAATGGACTTTCGTGATTGTTACCAGGTTGATATATTGGAATATATTTTTGGCCCAAGAACTTATCTGGCCCTCATTTTGCTTATTACTAGATGAGGGAGTTAAAAGAATTTACCTTTAAGGTCCCATTCAGCATGAAAATTCTGCATTTTCACTACAAATGAAATATATTACTGAAAATACTAACATCTATCTTAATGGCTCTAACTTTGCTTTCACTGAAATTGAAACATTAATAATTTAAAATGAAAAATTAATCTATATGTCCTCCTATTGCAGAAAGAAAGAAGCACCTTAACAGGACACAAATTTTGAAATAGTGTTTTGAGACATTTGTAAGATTTTTGTAAATGCTCTAAATGTTTTATTTTTGCATTGTTTTTACCTCAAAATTGTATAAACTTTTTTACAACTGAAATATAGCATTAGACAGCTTACTCAGGTTCCATTACAACCTTAAAGATGCAGGCAAATAGGCATTCTGTACACTCTGCTACAGATAACTTGTTTTAAATCTTTGAAGAGTTCCATGATTCCACTGCCTAAGAAAGTGGAATGAATATACAGAGCAATAACTGCAGAAAAGACAGTGCAAACCAAGAGCCGCAATAATTACAGGGGCACAGGTCTTTCTATACCATGTAACCTTATGCCAGTTGAGGTTGACTGAGTAGCTGTGCCCTCAAACATCATGTATAATACCCCTAGCAAAGATGGATTTAATTGTGCAGAATTGAAATATGTGTAAGTTCCAGTTACTAATTTAAAGTGTATAGAATATTTTAATATATAATTTTGTAAAGAACTGGGATTTTTATACTATAGTATTTGTAATTAATGTCTCACTAATTAAGTTTCTTTTGAAGAAAATATGCAAACTGTTAGATACATGATGAGTGATTTCCAAACTCTAAAGGTAAAATAAATGCACTACTATGGAGTTGTTAGAATACCTTTTATGTGGCTGTGTGAATCCTTAATCTTTAAGTGTGTACTTTACAAACAATGTTTACAAGGAGCTTTTCTGGTTGATTATCTCAGCACCTCCCTTGGTGAAAGCCTCCTTCTGCATTTATTTAACTCATATGTGTTGCTTTTGGCATATGCTTGCTTTTTGCACTAGTAGAATTTTAATTTACCTCGGTATTATGTTTGTAATCATTTGTATAGTTCCCATAATATGTCTCATATAGGCTAAAAAAATACTTAACCAAAGTTGAAATTTAAATAAATGGTAAGCAATTTTGCACATATTAAATGCTAGGGTTTGTTTTGTATATGTGTGTGTTTGTGTTTAGTTATAAAAAGAACAAGAATGGAAAAGTATAGTAAGTGTATGTTTCAAGCCCAATTGTTTTGATCTGTTTGCTTTGTTTGATTAAATCTGACTTTTAACCCTATATTCTCTGCATTAATTAACAATTTGCTTCTTGAAGCACTTCTCTTGATGACAAGGAATAAGTTGACCTTAAAGCAATGAGTAGCATGTTGGTTTGAATGTGCACATTTACACCTATTTGGTATTTGGTTTAGTTTACTTAAAATGCCTCTACTGTTCTAAAGCAGGAGGTGAATATGAACCTGTGGTTCTAACATATCTCTTATTTTTTAGAAAGAAAGTTAGTCTTTCTGTACCAAGGTATTTGTTAAAATGACAAATGTTTTTACATTGTGAATTAGTCCAGATTTTGTTCATCATTTTTTGGCATTCATACATTAAGCACCAGTCATATTTATCTGAAATATGCCACTGAGTAATCTCTGTGGCTTTGACATTATTGGTTAATAAGAGATCTTTGGGCTCTGTGTTCATGAATAGAATTGATTGGAGTAAATAGAGACGTACATTTAGCTTCTTATGATTTGCACATTTTCTGTGCGTAAATCCCTTGGCTTAGCAGTGGATATGTTGTGCAGATATCTTTCATATAAAAGGGCTTACCCTGAGGTAAATTACTTTCTTTACTCCTCCCAGCCAGATAAGCATTTCATATATACAAACCTTTTGTATAGTCCACAGTCCTCTTCCTGGGCCCTGCAACTTTGGTTCACATATGTAATAAAGAGATCTTGATGTTGCATGCTCTTAGAATTATGTTTTCTAAAATATTGTCTTGGCTTTATTTTCATTTAGTAAACTATTTTGGCAATTTAACTAGAAATAGGGCATTATAAAACTCATTTTTATTTGCATTTTTTGGATAAAACTAAAATTATCTGATTGCATGTATGAGGACCACCCCCTTGCCTGCCCATAACCTGATTACATAAAACTATTGATCCATTATTTCAAAGACTTGTAGACAGCAAAGATTTGATCTGGCTAGATATATGGCCTACTCTAAAGATTTTTTTATTTTAAAAAATTACCACACGTGTACCATAAAAACCATTTGTAACATTGACTATGAAGATATTATTAGTATTAAAATTATTGTTATCATCTGGTCATAAATGAAATAGCTTACAAAGTAGACAAGGTAAAACTGACAGTTACGTTTTCTGAGACTCATTTCAGGCAGTTTTCTGTATTGTGTACCAATGATATGTAAAATAAAGCACCTTTTCTACTATAAACAATTACAGGTTTTTTTTTTATTTTGAACTACATGAAAGAATAATTAGTGATGGCAGAATAAATCTGTAGAAATGTTGATTACAGATCATTCACTTAATATAGGCAGTTTCATAAAAAATGGATTGTGTCTAAAATTTTGTTTTTAAGTTAGTGGGTTATGTTTGGGAGTCATTTTATTACAGCATGTACAGCCTGCCTGACCCTTATTGTAGCTGGACTGGTGTGCTTGGAAGAAAAGGCATGCAACTCCAGGAAGCCATCTGAACTTGTCACCTCTTTTTTGTCTTCTATTTAGTTGTTTTTTTTTTTTTTTTTTTTAATGCTTTTCACCCTTTTTAATTCATAGCATCCAGGCTACTACTACTGCCCTGCTACTCCATCAAAATGGCTCTAGCAAAGGTCTGGGATAATTTCCCTTTTCCCAAATTCAGTGAACTCTTTCAGGGTAGTTAATTTTGTCATTTGAAACCTTTAACCACTCCCTCGGCACCTCCTCCTTTCTGTAGTTTCTGTGATACCATGCTTTCTGTTTTCCTTTCTGTACCACCACCCCTCTGCAGGCTCCTTTTTCTGCTCCCACTTGTCTCCATTTGGTTTTTCAAGATTCGGGTCAAACGTTGCCAACCTGGTGGAGCCATTCCTGACATACTCCATTTCCAGTTAGATTTGACCCCTTCTTCTGGTGTCTCTACTGTTCTTTGTTAAATCTCACTTAAAATGATTAAAGAAAATTGTCACCTTTACATCTCTCCATACTCCAGTAACTTCCCCTCTCAAATTGGGGTCAAAATGGGAAAGAGATTTTGAAAGCAAAAGGCATTTTAGCAGATTTAACAGGCTTCTGGAGGAAATACAAACTCCAGCTTTGTCTTACCCTACTCGATTATTCAGGATCCTAAGAGAAGTTCCGGGATAAGTAAGGGATGTGTCATGTATTTCCTAGATTATAAGGGATTAAATATAGGTATATATTGATCCCGGGAGGAAGTCTTTGATGTCGAGAGATCTGAGCATTTAGTGAGCTTGGTGGACATTTGTTAGACTATGATTTTTGACACTGGATGGTCAGGAAAGTGAGCTAAAAATATTTTCAAAGGTCATCTGCCTGGTTTCCATATAGGAAAGCCAGGGGCAATTATCTGACATCATCAGAAAACTACTTACCTGTTTAAGTACAAGGAACTGCTAGCAGGTCAGGAATCACAGTGTTAGCACCACACTGTTGTCACTTCTGAACTGTAGGCCAGGGGATCCTTACAGTACTGGAAGACAAGATGATGTTGGCATACTGTTCTTCCAAGTTACCCAGTTATAGTTGTGAGTTCCTGTGCTTTTATATTTCTCTCACTCAAGAAAAGACTTGTGTTTGATCATGCCTGGAAAAATATGAATACCATTCTGGGGAAAAACAACAAATTCTATAAACTGAAGAAAGAAAAGACTATACAATCCAAGGATACCAGTTTCCTTGTTCAAATTAGATTTCTGTATCCTACTAATTAGCTGCTTTTCTCTCCTCTACAGAACTAAAATCAGCAAAATATCTACTTGTGGAACTATTGACCTCAGCTGGTGTGAGGTTCTTTTGTACCTTTGGTATGTCAGATAAATAGAGTTGAACAAGGTACTTGAAAGTTATCAAATTCATAATCTGACCACACTTGTTCTCTTAAAGACAAGAAGATTCCCTGTTTTTCTGATTTGATTTTACTAGTTCAGCAGAAGTCTTTGCAGAGTGCTCAGAGTTGTCAGGTGGTTTACATGCAACACCTGAAGATTAAAAAGTGCAGAAAGTATGGTTTGGTGGTATAACAGCTCTGAAAGCTACAATAGAGAAGGAAATGGCCCCCACCCTACATAATCCCCCTTCCTGTCTCCTTACCACCCAGAGACAAGAAGCTAAAGGAGTCATCAATCTGTCATCATTTGTCATCTTTCCTCAGCATGAGAACTGAGGAAGGCACAAGTAAACCATTTTGTGCCTGA